AAATCTTGTAAAACTTTCCCATATCCCACTCTCCCCTGAGCTATCAGAAAGATTTCCTCTTCCTGAAGAACTTTGCTCTTTTCTTCATCACTCAAAAGTCACTCTCTGAAATAATATCAAGCTCCAGGCCCCCCGCCCAAAAAAAAACCCCCAAACCCCCACCTTGGAACTGAGCAAAACTAGAAGATATTTTATCTTTTTATTGTTTATCTTCTTTTTTTTTTTTTTTTTTTTTTGACAAACTATAATTCCCCCAAATACTTCACAAACTATAATCTCCCCAAATTCTGGCTGGTAATGAAAGTGTCTTTTCCAGTTGTGAGTCGTATTCTCAGGATAGCTTCTTTGGCTTGAGCGAGTAAGGCTGCTTTACACCAGCTGAAAATCTGATTCCCCAACTACAGCAGTGTGACTGGGTGCTGTTTTCTAATCAAATAACCACTGTGAAATACCTGATTCACTTTGCACCCAACAGCTGTACTTTCAGCCTGTGTTCCCAGTCACACTCTGAAAATAAGCACAATAAGAAAGGCCGAAACAGCTGCAACTTCTCAACAGAAAAAAAAAGGGGGGGAAAAAAGCTTGTTGTCAGGCTCCAGCTTAGGAAGGAAGCAGAACCATTTTTCTTTTCCGTCTCATGCATGTCAGCTGTCTTAGAAAAATTATTACTGCTCTGTTTTGTAACAGAAACTCCACAATATTTGGTAAACTACAAACTCCAACCTATTCATGGCCAAATACAGATTTAATGTTTCTGATGCAGCCAAAACATGCTTAGTATGTCAATGGGCTGCAATTACTCTCCAGGAGAGCTTTGGAATTCACCTCCTGGCCCCAATTATCCTCCTTAAAAGAACTCATGAATCTTCTGTATTTGGACCATCCAGATCAATTTGATTTTAGTTTTAGATTTTGGCTGAAAACAAAACACATTTAGTGAAGGAGGCTGTATTTCCTTTTCAGTATTAGTGCTTTCCAGAGCTGTTTAAGTGAATAATTCTATTTAATCGAACTAAGAGCACAAGCAGGAAACAACAGGTGACTATTCCTTGGTTGGATAAAAGATACCTGCTTTTGCATTCTGAATATTACTGGCTCCTCAGATGACTTTCTTTAAAATAAGCAAAATACAGGCTGTATTCTGAGTTGGGTCATTAGCACAGTTTTGATGGGTAATGCCATAAGTTTCAGTGGAATCACTTGTAAAGACAGGAGCTATTCATTGTGATACGTCTCTAAACACATCAAAACTCCCAAATCAGGTAGCCATCATCTACAGAAGGAAAAACTTTGTTCTCAGAAACTACATGTTAAAACTTCTGTTGACTTTTGCAGCAATGCTGTGCTATAGTCGTGTGGTAAAGAGAGAAAAATGGATGGAGATGGAAACAAAGTCAGAGAAGAGGTGTCAGTAAGAAGGCAGAAAGTGATGAGCAGAAGGAAGTGCAAAAGGAGACAAAAGACAGCAAGAAAAAGGAAAGAAAGAAAAGAAGGAGAATCAAGTGGTTGGCTGCTGATCAAGTGCAAGCAAGTATAATGGGAGACTATGAGAAACATTTTCAAACAAATTTCTCTCAGGTTGAGTATTAGTAGCTTGCTGCTGCACCTACTGGCTTCCACAGCGCAGGCTTGGAGCTTCAATTCAATTCAAGTGGCATGATCATTATGTTTTAATCATCTTTTTTTTCTCCACAAAGTGTTTCATAACAATTAAAGGAAACTCTAAATTAATACAGAAAAAACGTGCACTAAATGTTCATTACTTTCACCAAGCTGTTTCATATTTGGGCACTTCAGGGTGCGGTTGTCAGAGACAGAGGTACTGTACTACTATTTCTTTTAATCTCATGGATGACTGCTAGTGCTGAAATTTGTCACAAACTAAATTGTCTAAATATGGTAAGGTTTGGTATTTCAAAGAGGATACAAGATTAACTGGATTCACTGGAAGGGCTGAGTTGATTTTCTAATTTTAGAAACCTATATATGAATATTTTTTTCTTTTGCTTTTAAATAGTTGGCATGAAAATATGTTTGCAAGATATTAATACAATATAACCAGTTTTAAAACAGGTTCCCTGACAGGTAGAATTTTACAACTAATTTTCTCTGAAAGCATACCTACCTCTGAAAGGATACAGTCAACTCTGAATAACTACAAGTTACAAGGGGATTGCACAGGAAAATCCAATATTTGTATGTACAAAGAGCTAAAAATATGAGTGCAAATGACTGTGCAAAAGTGAGGTGCGTAACAAGTGAAAAACTGAGGATTCTTTGCAATATGTTCCAGTAGATTTGTGAATGAAACAAAAAAGAACATAATTACTTTTTTTTTTATAAAAAATGTGGGGAAGTGCTTGGGGATATCTTTTTGATAAATTAAGTCATTGTTAGATTATCCTGATTTTTTTTAACCCATTTTACTTCAGTAATGGTCATTTAATAGCTCAATTTTTAATGATCTCCATCTCATTGCAGTTAATAGCTATATTTCCATAGAAACACTGCAAATCTGCTTTAGTTGGGCATTTGCTAATGAACATGTTTGAAAGCACTTCCTAGATAACTATTAGTGGGGAAAAAAAAAAAAAAAGATTTAATGTAAGTGGACATTAAATTCTGCAAAAAAGCTGTGTCTTCTGTATCCTACAGACCTACTATCCCTTTCAAGATCATTTAAAGGCAAAACAAATACTAACCTTTTTATTTGGAGGTAGTGTCATTAAAGGTAGTCAGTATGCTTGTTCTCCTGCTGGTTTGCACCAAACCCTCAAAGAAAGAGCTCCTTCTTATTACAATATGAGCCTAATGCTGACTTCCCCCTTTAGCTCAAGCCAATCTAATTCAATGATGAGAATATTTCTGCTAATGGTAATGTGCCATTTACACAATAGCCTTTCTTTTGATCCATAGCTGAACCTGGAATGGGAAATGTATTCTGGAAATATTTTAGTTGTTCCTTGAGTTGGGCAAATGTCTGAATGAAGTGTGTGGTGCAGGGCTTGAATGAATAATTTAAAGAATGTTACAAATAAAAATAATGCTGCTTTGTGCTTTCCACCAAAGCTCCCTAAAAGCTTTGTGACAGCCCAGAAGAAATGCAGCGAGTAGGACAGTAGTTGTTATTAACTGTATTTTGTAGATAAGGAAATGGCTTCAGAAAGGTTAAATTGCTCACGTTCACTGTGTGAGCCAGTGTCTACATTTACGAACAGAGCGTAGGTTGCTCCTGTGCTCAGTGCGTAGCTCTTAGCATTTGCCTTTCCTGTGCTGAAGACAAACTGCAGATTAAAGTTACCAAGGTCATCACTGGAAGTTCAGGTAAGACTGGCAGGTTTGTCACTGAACATTTTGTTAAATTCCTATCTTTTAGGAGGAAAGAGAAACATGATTTTCTACAGTTTTTCATCTGTCCTTTGTGGTAAACCACTTTGACCTCCTTTCCTGTAGGAGCATTACGGATTTTGCATTATGGGGAAGGTTCTATGTCCAGTCTGTGCAGAAGACAGAAGTGGAGGTCTAGGATTCTCTTTGTCCAAAAAGGGTGCCAATAGCGGGTTAACAAATACCGGGGACAATACGTAACCCTACTTACTGTATGTGGCAAGGACAGAGAATGAGGAGAAGGGAGAGAAGGAAGGGAAGGCTTGTTAGTTAATCTTATTTGATGACTTACACCACGCAGAGATTTTTATGAAAAGGTGCAAGTGCCAAAGTGTTTTCTGATGGAAGGTTTTGGGAAATGGGAAAGCTGGAAGGGCACAGCAACTCATGATGGCAAATCTCATCTGTTTTCAGTTAATGATGGTTGGGGGACAACGCTACTAACTTTGATGACTATCTGCAGCCTACAGAGCAAGAAGGGCCAAAGATTGCCAATACTTGAGGAAGCCCACTAGAAGGCAAATAGTACTGGTGGAGTGAAAGGACACAGGTCCTTGGGTGCAAGAGGGATCCAGGCTGAGATGCATATCCAGGCTGGACCCTGTGGCAGCTGGAGAAGCCAAGCTCTCCAAGGTGGTCACTGCAGGATGACAGTGCTTGAAATAAGATGGGTGAATAAAGGAATCCCTTGGTGCTTTCAGAGTATTTTGTCTTCGATATTTGATTTTGACTGCCAAGTTTTTAAAAGATTCTTGGCCCTATGGGTTAGATTTATTTCATTAGTCACCTACAAAGAAGTCATGTAGTGTAATCTACCTGTCTAGATTGGTTATATACTCGGTTGAGGGAGGCAGAATCCTCAGGAGGGTGATTGACCACTTTTTATGGAAAACCTGCTTTAGGACAGGAAGAATGGCTGTCCAAAAGAACAGAGTGAGAAGAGAATGAGCAAGAGCGCGAAAATCTAAGATACACTCAGAGACACTCGAAAGGTGGAGGAGGAGCTAATCTCAATTCTAGAGCTGTGAGTCATAGGCTATGGGTACATTAGCAAGTAATTTGGTGCCAGAGGAGTGCATCAGTATATAGAAACAACTAATGCCAAGGCTCCTGCTTTTGCACTGTAAACTCTCTCGGCATTTTACTTTGAACTAGGTTTAATCTGATCCTCTGGACCAAATGACCGTATGAAGCATATATCTGAAGCTGTTTGAAGAATCATTCACTGTTTTGGACCTTTCTGCCCCAGCTGGGGTTGGAGAATATTTGATGTGTATCCAAGACAGAGCTTTCAGTTTAGCTTCCTTTGAAAGAAATCTAGTTTGTATGGACCAAAACTGCTCTGTGAACTGAACCAGCTGGACTAAGTGAACATCATGGTGGAATTTGCTCCAAAACCATTGCTCCAAACCACAAAGCCCATGTAAACACTTAAACAGCTGAATGCTCTACTAGGCACTTTGTTTATATTCCAGGGTCTCTGTTTTACTCAGCAATTTCAATTTTCTAATGCCCTGTTAAACTGGGATAATACTGTTCCACACTTTTCACCATCCTGCTAAACTCCAGTAGTTCTTTTTTTTTTATTGTGAAGGTGTCATAGTAATATTTACCTGCATGAAGCGGCCCTCCGAAGTTCCCAGATTAGCAACAGTAAGGTTCCCTTTGGTGAAGACAGATATTGATGTTAACAGGACGCTGTTGAACTGGCCCATGAACAAGTCAACCCTCTGCAAAGGAGTTGTAACTTCTAAGCGATATTCATCATCTTGTGCTCTGCAGTATGAAGCGTTTCTTGAAAAAGCCTGTTAGAAAATGAAATACAGATGAGTACTGTCTTTATGAGTAGGAATAGATCTTTGTCAGAGTGAAGCCATTTAGCACAAATGCCTTTGACCAAAAGTATTTTAAAATGTTTCAAACTTAATTGCTTCATCAGTTATGATGTTCCATGAGGAAGGCAACGACTTCTTAATGTTATGGGAATGTTTCTTTCAACTTTTTTTTATCCTGTCTGTTGGGAATAAGACATAGGGTCTTTATTTAACCAGATGATATGTGTACAAGCACATATATCAGGTATCCTTTCTCTTAGTGACTTCCGTAATGCTGTTTCTCCAGGGGCTTCAGAATTCCTTGACTGAAGAGCCTGCCCAGTGACACACCTGCTTCTAAAAGCGATTCCTAGAAAATGATTGTCTAAAAACGTTGCAATCTTTTTAACTTTTTTTTTTGCATTAAAATAACAATTTCCAGTATTCTTTTCTTTCTATTCTCTTTTCAACACCTTTTTCAGTGATAAGACAGAAAAGGGGAGAAAAAGATGGAGAAAGAGAAAAGGGAGATAAGCCAGGAAAAATATGTTTCTGATTGCATGTTTAAATGAAACTATGGGGAAGCCAGCTTTTTATAATTACTTAGGCTGTTGTATTGATCATCTATGGCTCATGCACTATTTCGTCCAATCTCTGTATGTCTTGAGTGTACTGTAATAGTTGCTGCATTTGCAGGATTTTCTCTTTCAGTTTGGGAATAGAGATTGCATGTTTTTAATTTTCATTGGAAAAATTCTTGAACAATACACTTTAAGTTATCTCCAGAGAAGAATATAACCTGCTGTCCTGACAATTCAATAGTAATCTATTAACTGATAATTCCATTACTATTGATACTACATCATCTGTTTTGGTGAGATCGTACAGATAATAACCAGGAACCCCCTAAAGGATCTCTAACCAGTTTAAATTTGGAAGTCATCTAGCATGTTCCCACTCTGACATACTTTATGAATAAATGTGTAGGGAGATTATAAAAGATCTTATGGTGGTTCCCTCTGTTGAAATCAATAGAGCGCTTCCTTTTCCCTTTTTTTTTATCGATTTGTTGCTGTTGGTTACAAATATATTTTAATTTTTTTTTAAAAAGCTTGAATTAAACCTTTTAAAGACAGTCAGTCTTTCCACTAAATTAAATAGGTCTGGATCACACCCTTAAAGAACAAGTAGGAGTAAAATTTTTTCTTATTTTCTTGATTCAGATGGGTTTCCTTCTACTACCAATAATCAATGTACTATAAGAAAGCAAGCGATGAACCAAGAATTTCTTGCTGGCTTAACTCTGGTGAATTCTGGAGAAAAAACAAGGCACTGAAAATGCTATAACAAAACATTCAACCTAATAGCTCAGTCCTTTGCTGTTGAATGGATGGGGCTCTGAGCAACCTGATCTGGTTAAAGCTGTCCCTGCTCACTGCAGGGGGGTTGGGCTAGGTGATCTCTAAAGGTCCCTTCCAACCCAAAGCATTCTATGATTCTATGAATTGTAACGTTTCTGAACTGTGCACAGCAACAGCACTGGCGGGTGAAGTTTTCTATGATCCCTAGGAGCTCCAGTCAGCTGTGGTGCCAGCTTTTCTCCGGGTGCACTGTCAATTTACTGTACAATTTAGGTAAAAAACTGCGTAAGACCAAGCGAGCAACTGAAACCTCTGTGCACTGCCTAATGATACAGAAAGAAGGCTTCCAGATTAGATCTGATACAGCATCGACTTAACAGTTTGGTTATCCACATGCTAAAGTGTTTGCTGTATTAGTTTTGGTATTAACTGTTACAGTATGGTGTGTTTTGCTAAGCAGGAACTGAACTAATACTTTACACTATGCACACTGAACATTTGTTGAATAGACTTTAAATATTTTTGACTGATCAACAAGGGACAAATTTAGCTTGTCTTTGCTTTGGCCACCAAACAAGCTAAAAGCTTTTCTTTGGCCACCAAACAAGCTAAAAGCTTTATTCTTTTGCACTCATATCCTATCCAGTCTAAAAGTATTTCTGAAACATCTGTGCAAAGATTACTCATACAATGAGTATGAATAGTTCAAGTGCAGAAAGATGTACAGTTTTCATGCTTTTTGAAATAAGGCAGATTTCTGAGTTTACCCTCCCCCAACTCAGGATCTCTGCTCTACACTGTAACTCCTTTTTTGCCATGAGCAAACGACTTTGGGGAGAGATGTTTCTGTGCTAACCTTAAAAAAGTACTTCCTCCTGTGTAGTCATCTTAACACAATTTGAACATCCTGACACACCTCATGAAACCCTGTTCAAGCTCTTTTTAACAAGTGGCTAGAATTTCCTGCTTGCCCCAGCACCTTTCCTAGCTTCTCCAAAGTCAGTTTAGCCACAAAGTCAGCTCAGCCTTCCTCAGAGGTGTCGTAATTTTGGGTATCTGCCCAAGAACCTGCAGACTGCTCCACATATGGCACTCTCAAAACCTGGCGCTTCATGGATTAACCATAATGTAAGGTTAGCTGTTTAAGAAATAGGAAGGCTTTGATCTTTGAGTAGAAATGCAGAGATTAAAAGGCTACTTAGAAAACTAAAGGAAGATTGATAACACGGAAAACTTCAGCAAAGAAGCTGCTTTAAATTAACTCTTTGAAGCCTGAATCTCTCCCTCCCTCCCTCTCTCTCCGTATACACATAAGTATCCATTTGGCTGTCAATGTGGAAAAATAACTGATGTCAGATGATGCACTCTGGATATTATGCCAAGTTCCAGTGACAAATCACGCAACTATTGAAATGGACGATTAGAGAGCGGGTAAGTGCTTGGGTTGGGCTATATTGCTTCTCTTGTAGGATGAGAGGTGCCAATTGCGTGTGTGATTCATAGTGAGGGCTTTGTGAAGCTGGTGTAGGTGTACCACTGGAATGCAAGGAGGTGTGAGCAAACCCTGCCTTTTGACTGTGTCCAGAAGGGTAGGAGATAACCAACACTATCTTGTTTGTTCATAGGGGAAGTTGCGATGTTTCAGAATTTAACCTGGATTCAATCCACAGACGACGAACATGCCAAAAAAGTCTCTAGACATCATTGAGCTGGGCTATCAGGAGCTGTCGCTGTTTGGCAGTTAACTGATAATTTATATATCATATTCAGTGAGAATAAAAATAATATTTTGGACAGAGTTGCACATTTGAAGCCAAAAGTGCAAAGCAGGGAGGAAATTTTAAAGCCACTAACGAAAAATCTCAAAAAAATACTCAGGTCAGTGTCAGAACCAATTATAGAGTCTAGTCTCTAATCTGAATAGCTAGACTCGGGGGGGGGGGCGGGGAATCACAATTTTAACCAAACACTTTTTTGAAACTTTTCTATTATTTGCAGCAACTGCAGTTTGGAGAAACACTCCTCCAGGCTTGTCCTTCTAGAGCTGGCCAAAACCTGTTCTTCGTTAAGTGCAGTGCTCAGTTAGAAAGCGCTATTATGTGTAATGTCTTCATATTATGTTTAATGTCTTGAATAAACTAGAAATTAATGGCTTAATCACTGCAGAACATTTAACACTGTCTTGTGAGTGATTTGGAGGAAATAATTAAAATTAAAATTTAATTTGACAAATTGGAGAAATGGTCTGAAAGTAACTAGGTAAAATTTCCTAGTGTCAATTGTAAAATACTACAGTTATGAAGGAGAACTCAAGAGAAAGTAGGAATAAGCAGCAGTCTTATATCCTGCTGGTTTGTTTATACGACTTCTAACTTGTTGGCTGTCAGGAATCAGATTCCTAAGTATCAACTTTTGTTTTCTGCTATGGATCCTGGGGAGTCTCCCTCAAGAGAAGTGGGCACCTACAAGTGCGGACAACATTTCTCCTTTGAGCATCTCTATGGTGTAACATGGAGCAGGGGGAAATGAGCTACTGCTAAATGAGCTGGATCCTGATATCTGCAAATGGCAAAAAACCTTTTTCAAAGAAACTGCTGTAGAGTGAATGAATACATGATTCTACATAACAAATAGATTCCCAAGGCAATTAAAAATGGAGACGATGTATGTTGCTTATCTGTTCTGTTGTGGAGGTCAGTGAATTAAGATGAATAATAAAACTACCATTTTCAGGAGTGTGTCCTACTGGAATCAAGCACATAATGGTGGAGAATTTACGTGATCAGCTGACTCTGAACAGGAAGAGTAACTGTGAGGAACACAAAAGAAATTTTCTTGGGTATTTTTATCCAACACACTTGTGCTATTCTGTGATATATTGGAATTTTCTGGGTAGTTTGTAGTATTTCTCTTCATAAGTGCATTTCATCACTGCTTCTCTCCATGTGAATTACAAGAAGTGAAATTCTGGCCCCAATAACTCCTTGAAGAGGATGAGTGACTTAATAAGCATCAAGTTGGAGGGCTGTTAGAGGGCTGGAGTTAGAACCTGTATTGTCTGTTTCCCAGTCCCATGTAAATAAAAGTGAAGGATATTATAAATTTGGCCTGTCTATCATTGTTATCTTTGAAAGGAATTACTCCTTAAATTTCATAAACCTCATAAATATTCCCAGCTGTCACATACCGGTCTTTTTAATTCTGGACTCAGTTAGAGATGACTGCTAAGGTCCTTGTACTTACAGCTCTTTGACAAAATGGGGAGAGGAGAGAAATAACCAGGACAAACTTTCTGGCTTCTGGCACATTTACAGACTCTGTTCACTTCATGCCTTCTTCTGTCAGTTCTCTTGGCAAAGGGACTATCTGCCTTCCCCTTTCCCACGTGGTTTCATGCCATAGCTGGTCAGAGTCAATAAAGCGTAATGGAGAAGAGGAGAAATACTTAAATAGCTTTCTACTATGCTATCACAAAGGAGTATTTTTTCCTTTGCAATTTGCAAGACAAAGTTTGTGAAATGGACAAAATTTTACTACTAGCAATTCTAAAAGTCATAGTCACGTTTATTGTTCTCACTATACATAACTGTCACAGGGTGTCTGAATTCTTTATGGTTATGAGCACATTCA